GATATCAAAAAAGTACTCCAGAGTGTTGTTCAGCATGGGGGTGAGTAGAAAATGAAGGCTAATCATGTTTTGGGTGTACTATTCCTTTAATGAAGATGGTTACTTTTTTCCTGACAAAAGGGATTTCTGCTTTGATGGAGATGAAATAAAACATTCGAATTCATATATCATACTAGGAAAATATATCTTTAATCAAGAAAAAAGTATACACAGCAACTATATTTAATAACCTAGATAGTTTAGAATTTAACTTTTTTTTTCATGAATGATGAATATCATTTCTGACCCTTGAAAATTCTTTCTTTTCCAGGCAGCCCATGAATGCTGTTTTAAAACAGTTTTATTCAGAGAGCAGCAGCAGGACCAGAGGAGCTAAAACCGGGAGCAATAGTACTATGTTAGGTAAAAAGCCTGATATTAAAAGGATGCTCTCTCTGTTTTCATCTACATGCAGAGGTTAACGGGGCGTCTTCGCAGCAGCAAATGGAGCACTGGAAGAATTTTAACAGAAAACTCATCATTTATTTATTGCTGGGAACAGAGGACTGCTAGCATGCTGGAAGAGGAACCATATTTCATGATGTTTTTGCATGTGCATATGAGTGTGTTACATACACATGGTGCAGGTGTTTATCGGAGAAGGAGCTTGTTTGAGCATGTCCTCTTTGACTAAATAAAACAGATGATTGACAGGTCATTTAAAATGACCTTTTCCAAGAGCGTCATTCACATTCTGGAGAAGTGACTGTGTGTATGTGTGAAAGCTATCAAACAGAGGAAACGAGGAGAGCCTGCTGCCATGAGATGGACTGAGATGACATTAGACAAGGGGGACTGAGACTGTGGAGGAGCAGATTTGAAGGCATGATAGAACAGGAGGCTGACATGTTTGACAAGAGAGGAGAAGAAGAAACCCAGACGAGGAGAAATAATGCAGGGAACCTCATGTTGGACTTTTGCTGTGCAGATTTAGAGCAAAAGTTTGCTTCTCTGTGCAGATTAATGCAACCTTTTCTTCACTAATCACAATATTACTGCCTTTTTAATTATTAATCTTGTTCCAGTTAAACCTATTTATGTGCAAAG